GGCTTATATTACGAGCATCCTGAAAAATCATATTAGGGTATTTTCAGGTTAGGTCTTATTTTCAGGGAAACAGGGTATTATTATATTAATATTAATATATTAGGGTAGAATTATATTTTGAAAAATCTATTTTAAGGTGTTAAAATGCCTTTTTATGCAAATATGGCAGAGAGGTTCAAGGTCACTTGGTTTTTATAAAAGGAGGTTGCAACTCAAAAATGTTTGAGAAATACTACACTAGAAGAAATTGAGAGGCAGTGTAACACTCAGCCTCCCCACAAACCATATTATTGGGGAGGGAGGGAGAAAAGGTGCCGGCCTCTGGAAGCTGGAGAGGAGGGAATATAGTGATAAGAACAAATCCTGGACAGGCACAAAAGAGAAGTCTTAGCTTGATCTTTATTTCACCAGGGAAGCTACCAAGGGAGCCTTGAGTTTGTATTCTTTGCAGGCATATATACCGTCACTGTTACGAACCCCTCTGCCTAACCATCAGTCGGAAGGGATACATACAAATCAAAATGATGTTGACTCTTGTTATAAGGTTGAAACTGGAGTCCTTCTGAAAGAGAACTCTAGGAAGAAGGTGTTTGAGAGATACCCTATCTGTTTAAGGAAAGTCCAGGTTACTGATGTTGACAATGTTCAATTAATAAATCTTGTTAATTTTCATAAACCCAAGTCTTTTTTTGTAAAAGAAGTAATGGATGAAAGCAATCCTCATGGTCCCCCTGGAACTGGGAATTTGTGAGAATGTAACCCCAAAATATTAGTTTAACATACTATTAATACTAGCAAAACTAGTAGTAGCAGTAGCTACAAAATGCAAGTCTCTACTAAAAGATAATATTTTTACATGCTCTGTGATATTCCTATGTATAAAAAAAGACAGCAGAATAATATAAACAGTATATTCCCATTTCCAATAAACCAGGGAACTGGAACTCAGAACTGCATCAAAGTTGCAGCTTCAGTAATGATGCTACTGCACGAGTTATTCGGGAGTTGGATGTCTTTCTTGTTTTCAGCCTAATACCGTCCAATTATGTTGCCTTTCAAGTAGGCTCTTGCCTAGTTTAACAACTTCTTGGTTAAAAAGGGCTTGAGAGTGGAATCCGAATCCAAATGTTGATTTGGAATTTAGGTGAGTAACATAGAGAACTTTAGTTCTGTCATGTTGTGAGGGTTCAGATCTCGCTTCCTTAAACCCCCCCCCAAAGAAATCTGGAGCCGTCTTTAACTTTGAACCATGATTAGGATTTACTGTATTGAAGTATTAAACAAAAAGTCCTTGTGTAATTCTTTACTCAAAAACTGTTCTCCTGTCGCCAACGGGTCAGGCAAGGGGTTCCAAGCTTCTTTAATAAACGGGTTCAACACTGATTCTCCCCGTGGTCCTTGCCACGAGGGTAGCGAGTCCTCTTCGTTTTCCTCAGTAGTTCTACTGTCTAGCAACAGGGTGATCTTGTCCCGAAGGTCAAACCACTCCCGGTCTCTCCATTCCTCGAACAAGGTCCAGGGTCCATCAGGTACTCCCTCCTCCTGGCTTCCTCTATTCTCCATGCCTGATGTTCTTGCTCTTGCCTGGTCACTATTTCCCTCTCCTCTCTCAACTTGCGAAGCCACTTGCAAGCCTCAGTCTCCTCCCAATATCTGTTTGTTTGTTTGTTTGTTTAACTTATATGCCGCCCATTCTACCCAAAGGTTTCTGAGCGGCTTACAACTGGTCTTTGGGGAAGTCCCCTATGCCTCCTATAGTCAGCTCCTTCCCTAGGGACCCTCACCCTTTCCCATTTCTCCGTCCACGGGTCTTGTACCCAGACTATTTCCCAACCCCCTGGTATCAGATCCTCCCTCACTTTTATATCCACAGTTCCTGCCTCCATCGCCACTCTTTCTTTCCTCTCCTTTCCCGCCATTTCTTCTGGGGTATGAATTGCTACTGTTACCCCGTGTTATTTTGTCTCCAAGTCCCGGGTATCCCTTCTCTGCGGGGCGGTCTCTTTTGGTGGTGTGAGAGGGGCTGTCTGTACTTCCCTGCCAACCTTGGAGGGGGACAGCACTCCGGTGAGAGCTTCCATACTCTCGCCCCAGTTCTCACACAGGTCTGCCTGAGGGATCTCCGATAAATGAAGGTCTCCTACTGAGTCTTGCTCATTCTCTGAGTTGAGCCCATATTCCAGGTCTGCAAAGGCTGAATTCTGACAATGTAAGTAGAGGATCTAAGCCCATTTTCAAGAGTTTCAGTGTCTTAAATAAGAATATGCTCCTTTAAAAGTGTGGATTGCCCTGTGTTTGACTCAGAAGAGTCCCGAACACTTCCTCATAGCCACAGTTTGCTCAATTATAAAGAGACGTCTTGGGTCTCTGCATAAGGAGAAAGAGGGTATATAAAATAAAACAGATAAGCAAGCATACCAGCCTAGCTCTACCCTTTGTTTGCGAAAATACTATCTGAAATCTTCTGAAAGTTTTCTATGTATATATAAAGTATGCAGTTGTTATGTGTCATCAAAACAGTTAATGAGAAAGGGGTGGACTGTGGGAAACTTCTACTACATAGCAAAAAGAAAATTTTACTAAAATTTCAACACTCTGCAACAGAGACATGCCTACATTTTAGGACTAAATCATCTGAAACTTCTAGGAGCTTCATATGTGAGTCTCAAAATTAACTGTTCTGCTTTGTGAATTGGTGTTTGGGAATCCTAATGGGTTTCTAAATAAGATAATAGCTAACTACCAGAACTGCAGGAAGAGTTTTCCAAACTAAATACAATAGTGCATATGGTTATCACTAATGAATCAGTTACTGCCAAGAACCTGAAGCCTGCCATTTTCTCTCTTCTAACTATATATAGACTAAAACTATACACATCCCAGTTTTATCATACTTTATGTATGGAATATTTTCCCAGTAGCAGTTCTACTAAACATGTAAAAACATGTAATGGGTTATAAAACAGCACAAACCTGAACTTCAGGCATTAGAAGATTAGAACTGGCATCAACATTATGTAAATTCTGCTTTCACACGGTTAGATGAATAACAGCTAAGTACAAAAACCCAGACATTATAACACAAATATATGTATTATTCCACAGGCCAATTAAAAAAAACTTTTAATGAGTTAGGATTCTCATTGGCACACTAATTATGGTAATTATACAATTTTCCTGAGAAGCAAGTGCTTTTAGAGAAACAGAGCTACAATGTATAATAAGAATGAATCCACGTTAGATGTCCACACTAGGATCAACATAATTCACTTCTACAATTAAGGTCCTAATGGTTCCTATTGATATGGTCCATCTACCAGCATCAACTCACATCCAAATGTTTTACTTTTTATTTTCTGTGTTCTTAAATCTATTGACAGGTATATTTGTTAGTTTGGGATTTTAGCTGGCCTAACTGCTGCAGACAGAGAGCTGAAAACCACTGAAACATATAGTCTGGGGTTTGCAAAACTCAAAACATTCCTTTCTCTATTTATTCCTGTTTTATAGAAAGCATCTATGAAGATCTCCATCTAGAATCTTTCACTACATCTAGTACTGTATAAGATGAGTCCCTCGGCCATAGTGTTGGGCCTCTTTGGCAAGCTAAGAAGGAAATTTTCTTTCTTCACGCTCTTCTGAGAGCCCCACAGACAGCAAATAAAGCCTGCGTGCACGCGCACATGCACACGCACACACACACACACACACACACACAGAGAGAGAAATTGCAGTTGGAAATAGCTAGAAACCAGTGCACACGCACACACACACACACACAGAGAAATTGCAGTTGGAAATAGCTAAAAACCAGCTACATTTACTGGAGGACACATATAGCATAAAATAAATAATGCACTCCAAAAGCAAAAATATTCTGGATTAATGAATAAATAGCTTAAATTAATATGGCAATACCAGAATTTAGTTTAGTTTTTTTATTATTGTGAAATAAATTGATGTAAGGTTTAGATAGGGAATGCATCAGTTTACAATGCATAAATGTGTCACTGTCAGCTTGGGAAGACATTGATATGGTAAATGTATACTAAAAGAGTTGTATATACAGTAATGCCAGTAAGTTAAGCAAGTACTAGCACACCCTTCAGCACTATGCAGTATGCCAGTAGAGCAAGAACATCCCCCCGTAAGTGAATGTGTCTTGTTTTTATTATGCTTTTCCACTTTATTGCTATGCCGGATCATCACTGTAGTTTCACAAGCTGTTACATCAAATCAATCCTATGTCATTTGCTAAAACATTTTTTTTTAAATCCCACAGTCAATGTCACCCTAGGACACACCCACCAGGGCTGCTTTGGGCTGATATAAGCCATCACACATACCAGAAACTGAAAAAAAGTGATGTAAGTGGAATTGCCACAAAAAAGTAGCCACTATTAGCTGAAGAAAAAGCAAGGAATACCAATGAAAAAGGACCAGGGTTAATCACTATTAGCTGTATATCATATGACTGACCAAGAAAAGAGAGAGGCAAATGTAACCATCCTACCATATGGTCAATTGCAGTGAAATTGCACCCTGAGCAGATTGTTATTTATAGCATTTTTAACCCTTCTTCCTGTCTGAAAAATCCTGTTTGAATTCCACATTATAAACTTTAGCCAGGAAAAACTATTTGCATTTATCATTAATTTAAACAATTCTGTATATATAAATACAAAATTAAAATTCCATTAGATGAAATTGATGGTCAAGAAGAGGTGGGGAGGCATGTAACATTCTAAAAAATCAGAAGCAAGAGATTTGATGTGGAAACAGTTAGGAAGTTCTGCAGAAGGATGTAATGTAACTGAGAATACTTCTAATAATAAACTAATAGATATGTTTTTTTTCTAAATACATATTAACTTTTCCAAATGTCATATAGCATTCTACTCTGCAAATTTTAAACTGTGAAAGTTAAAGAACATGCTCCAAAGTAATAATAACTTACATTCCGCCATGGTATAGTCCAGACTGTTGTTATGTATTTTGTCCACAGAACATAATCATCTGAGGGAAATACAAAGTATTATATGCATATGTACTTTACTTATATGTACTTTTACTTTCCAGCTGACAGTAAAAATGACATAAACACCAGGTGATGTTTGAAGGATGCAGAAGGGAGGAAAACAACCTCGTGGTCTTAAAAAAAACCCTGCATTACTTACTATAAAAACCATCCATTTTTAAAATTAGTAAATAAGAAAAACATTAAAACAGCAGGTGAAAACTGAACTTCCCGAATCCAGAAACTTAGGCAACTCCTGAGACAAACTATCAGGGCAGTAGAAAATAAAACAGCAGTGACACAATTAGAGACAGAGCTGCTTTAAAATGTAAAGGATGTTTGATTATCCTCCAGTGAGGTTTCACTTCTCGGTGCATCACAAATTTGCTTACTGTTATTTCATGATTAGTTACCAGGAGCAAAATAACTAGCTCCATTGGCATATTGACTCTGCAGACATGGCATTTTCGAAGCATGTGGCTCTTAAGGAATAACATTTTACTCTCTTCTAAATGCAAAGCTGCCCTGTTGACTGTTTTCTGTATTACTTAGCAAGAATCAGGCAAAAACTCCAAACTATTTTCATACTTAATTTTTGGTGCATAGGTCCTTTAAATAATTTGCTCCCAGACTGTTTACAGCCTTAAAGGCATCCACCAGCACTTTAAACTGAGCCTAGAAGCAGACTGGATACATGCTAAACCTGCTTCCCACAACCAAACATGCAACTGTGCTCTACACCCATTGTTAGCTTCTGAACCACCTTTAAAGGCAGTATGAACAGCGGGAAATTCCCTGCTGTGTTAGGCCTCCTTACCTGACTTTTCAAGAGTCCTGCCTCTGGCCATCTCTTAGGACCACATAAGACATTGAACAGTGTGTGCAAAAAGAGTCACCCTTGCCCACACTTTATGTTTCCCTGTTGGATTCAAGTTTCTCAAGAGACAGTTGTCTACTTATAACTAGAATTGTTCTAGCCTGGATGATAATGTGGCCAGTTAATTTGCACTTTTAAATAGCCTGAAACAAAGGTTTCTGGAATATGTAAGTAAGGCATTGGACCTGCCTTCTATCCATTTTTACCCAAACAGCAAAGTGAGACATTCACTGGCATAATTGTTTTTGTTGCTACTATTTTCAAGCTATTTTTGTCTATTTCTTGACTGAAATGCTCTATTTATTTTAATGCACGTTCTCTAAATCTGTACCCATATTTAACAAAACAGCTTTCTTATATTGCTTGGCTATTCCTTTAAAATCTATTGAGTTATATGTATTCCTTGATTTGTAGAAAGAACCCAGCATTTTGGCTGAAGAAAACAGGTTGGTCTTAGGTCCTGGGGTATCTTTCTCCCATGTCTTGTATTTATTTGTAGTGGATATCATAAGTGAATCTGACAACGTGTTGGTAAGAGTTTGGAAGAAATTGTGCTTGGCAAAATCTTAAATTTTATATGGGCTTCTACTGAATGCTTGATTCCTCTATATTAATACTGAATTTTCAAAAACAGTTTTAAGTAAGAGAATAAGAAGCTCCTTTTAATGCCTGTTTGTCAGCTTGCAGCATACATATGCCTTAATACTGAACATGCATTCAAAAAAGGAAGCTTAATGTTACCATTTTTATTTTAAACGAAAAGCAATGGACAGGGTTCAGAGGAGTAATGAAACAATAAACTGCAAATAATCTTTTCTCAATAATGGCATGTGATCTATGTCAACCTCTACCAAGAGTGCCTCTGTCTTCTACACAGAATAAATGGGTCAGTCTCTACACAAGAGGATAAATGGATATAAATCTGACAGCTGAAAAGGCAACATGCAAAAGCTAGTGTCAAAATACTTCACACACACAAACACACAAACAGAAATATCACAGCACGGAGGATTTGGTGCACAACGTCTCTGGGAAAGGACGGCATGGGAAGTAACTGGCCTTTTTGTGCACTTCCATTTTCTGGCACTGGAACTTTGTGAATTCGTCATAGAGCTATTTTTTGTGTGTGTGTGTGTGTGCGTGTGTGTGTGTGTGCACGCACACACACACACACACACACACACGCACAGACACACAAAAGTATGACTACTGTTTATGAGAGGACCAGCACTAGCTGCTCATTCAACTTCTTTCACTGGGTGGTGTGAACAACTGTCACAAATGAAAAGACTGTCAGATCCTGATAAGGATGCCTGACTTCCCCTGGAGTCCTACAGAGAATTATTAACCTCCCAGGCAAAGAACAGAAGCCCACAGTTCATCATTATCCCAGTAAAAGATTAATCCCAGAATGAAACCAGACAATCATTGACAAGTATTTATAAACTCATCTGAGTATTTAGATATGAGTATTTTCATTGTTGCTATAATTCAAGGCAACTTCGAAGTTTTATTTCTACATAGCTTCAAGGTTCCATAAGTCAAAACTAGCAAGTTCAAAATATATTGAAGACAGTTGTGAGGGAAACTATAGACACATATGCTTAAAATATATAAAACAGTGAATTTGAGCTTCTTTCTCTTCTTTGCTTCAACCTGTCGCCTAAACTGGCAAAACTCATAGGCTGTGACATTGGAGGACACAGCAAGAGAGAAAGTTCTGTAACTCACTCTTTTCTAGGCTTTATTCTGGGAAAAAATATAAAGAAATTGTGGTTGGCTAATATTTCTTTATAGCGGTGGAAACAAATTATAACAAGTAATGTGTACTATAATAGAGAGACAGCCAAGTGAATTGATTTTCTGATACAGTAAAATAAATGTTTCATTTTTTTAAAATTAATACAAGTATTGTTGCTCCTATTTAATAACCATAAGCTCAACATTAGGCTTCTACATTCTACTAGCATAAATCAAGCGTATTTCCATAGGATGCTTTCCTCCAAAATAAATAATAAAATGGCAGGGTTATACCAATCAAGCTATTTCATAGGAGAGCCAGTGTGGTATATAGCAATGTATATAAAAAAGCAATATAAAAAAGTATCAGACTAGGACTCTGAAACTTGAGTTCAAATCGTCTCTTGACCATGGAAACTCAATAGGAATAGCAATGAGAAACCACTTTCTTGAAACCCCTACTAAGGTTGCCATAAGTTAGAAGCAACTCAGCCTTCCATCCTTCCGAGGTCGGTAAAATGAGTACCCAGCTTGCTGGGGGGGCAATGTGTAGCCTGTATAATTAAAAAATTGTAAACCGCCCGGAGAGTGCTTGTAGCGCTATGGGGCGGTATATAAGTCCAATAAATAAATAAATAAATAAATAAATAAATATTTCAAATAAATGATGTATGCTGTGCAACGTTAAAGCCCACAGAGGACTTATAATTTGCCACAAGGGACCAGCTGCATCGAGGAAAAGGTTGTTTATTCGGATTACAGCGTTGACAGTTATTCTTTCTTTCTGTCCTTCATTTTATATTTGTTTTGTACAATCACTCCTGTATTTGAGGACATTCATTGATAATACTAGCGGGAAAGAGAGGAAGTCCTCTGAAATATTTAACAGAAAGGGAGAGAAAACCAGCTCCGTTCCCTTTTCTCCCTTGTCTTTCTGTGTTTGTCTGGGGAAAGGAATGAGGGAATCCACACTGCAGAGGGAGCGTCGGTCTGGCTGGGTGTAAGTGGAAACGGGAGAACAGCAACGGGACGTGTCATAGCCATGACGGCAGGAACTTTCAGCTCTGAGGCAGGGGCCAGCAGGGCGGGAATTTCCAAACGGCACCGTTCAAGGCACAGCACGCCCAGGCAGAGAAACCCCCAGGCAAAGAAAGACAAGAGAGGCAGCCTAGCTGCCCGGATTTAAGCGCCATGCCTTCTTTTCCTTACCATTCCCCTTTCCTGTTGTTTTCTCCGCCTCCCGCCAATTTTCAACAATTCCCACCTTGAACTCCTAGAACAGCCTCAGGACCAGAACCTTGAAAGCGCATGTATCGGCCAGACGTAGTCATGAGCAAAGAGGAAGAAAGAACAGTCTTGAAAAGGGGGCTGATCTCTGTGGAGTTCCAAACTCTTATCTTACTCCGACCATAGGTCCTCCTTTTGAAATAACAAAGGGTGAAGCAACATAATGCTAATTGCATGGGGGGGGGCGGTAGTGCTTGATACTGCCACATGTTTTGAAGGCAAACCAGCCCATTGGTGAGGAGAGGCAATAACACGTAAATTCTGACAGTGTGGCTGTAGTGGTAAAAGTATTGGCCTGGAAGTTTTGGGTTCTAATTCCCACTGAACCATGAAACTGACTGGATGCGCTTGAGCAAGTCACATGATCTCAGCCTAACCTACCTCACTGAGCTGCCAGGATAACACAGGGCAGAGGAGAGCAAGGTGGCAGAAAGGCTGAGGTACCTTTTTTGTTACAGATGAACCTGTTTCTCTGCTGGCTTAATAGCTCAGTGGTTGAGGTATCTGGCTGTGGAGCCAGAGGTTGGAAACTTGATTCTCCACTCTGCCTTTTGAGAGTAGAGCCAGCCTGTGTGGCCTTAGGCAAGCTGCAAACTCCCAGGATGCCCCCGGAAGAAGGGAATGGCAAACCATTTCTGAGTACTCTCTACCTGGAAAGCCCTAAAAACGGTTGCTATAAGTCAGAACTAACTTGACAGCACATGAATATACACAACCCATTAATCACTACCCAGTGACAGAGGGAGTAAGCAGCAAAGATGGCTGCTTGTGTTCTACAGTACCTAGAAGCAGCATTGGTGGGGGGGACTAATCTTCCATGCTAATAATGCCCTGGAAAAAGTGAAGAATAGGAAGCAGTAGTTACTGCCTTCTTTGGCATGGTTCCTCACCCTGTCCAAAAGTGGCAGAAGCCGAACTCAGAGGAACAGAGAGGGTCCCATGGACTTACAGCACAACTGGTGTCCTTCATGTTGTGTTCTAGCCTCTGCTGTAAGGTGGGGAAAATGTTGATTATTGTTGATTTTCTCTATTTACTACTGAGCTTCCCCCCCTTCAAAACAGAAGTACTGTATCAGAAACCCCTTTCAAATACCTGTTTAATACCATGAGGCAGTCTTGCATACTTGAAAATATAGAAGAAAAGACTACAGGGAGAAGTGGGAAGAATATTTCAGAAGGCATTTTTTTATCTGACTTCTGAGCATGGTAAAGGACAATTTCGAGGGTAAATTAGTTTATGCCAGCTAAATAATTGAACCTAACGTACCAAGAGCCTTCCTAATGTTGGCCAGGAGAAGCAAATCATGTTGAGTATATTTCTTTCTTGGGCTGCAGTCTTATATACCCTTACCTGAGAGCACAATAGAGCTTGCTGTTAACTATACATGCATAAAATTGCACACTCATACTGGGTATGACTCCCAGCTTTACAGCAAATGCCTTTATTCCAGAAAAATAATTAACTGAGAAACTACATGATTGAATCATTTCCATGGGTCTGTGGAGCCAGGTAAATTGTTTGGCCAGGATAGACTGAATCTGCTTTAACATTTTTAGGAATCTGTTCCCTCCCATAAAAATCAATTTAGTCAAGTAATTAAAAGGGTACAGCTGGTGAAGCTACCAACATGAATTTGACGCAACTCCGGGAGGCAGTGGAAGACAGGAGGGCCTGGCGTGCTCTAGTCCATGGGGCACAAAGAGTCGGACACAGCTTAACGACTAAACAACAACATATGGTTACTCTATTCAACTATTAGTTTTGGCTTTTTAGAAGACTAAAGGTATGCTCTTCAATGTATGGTCCTGAATGTACTGGATATTGTGTTCCAAAAAGTTAATGATTAAATAGCTCATGTGGACTCAGAATTCAGAATGAGATGAAAGTGGAGTCTGAATGCTTTAAAGTTTTTTTCAAAAAAAATGAGGGAGAACTGCTAATGCAAGTGTTTGTGAAAAATCACTGGTCAGAATTTAGCTTTGCAGAGTTTCAAGTGTAAGGAAATAGGATATTCAAGCAAGAATTGCTGGCAGAGGTGAAGGCAGCACAACACAGATTCAGACATAACTACATGGGCATTTTCCTGCTGTTTCATCCACTATGGGGACAGGCTAGTTCATTCTTTTTGCTGGAACCAGATGACATACAGCAGTGGTTCTTAACCTTTGGTTACTCAGGTGTTTTTGAACTGCAACTCCCACAAACCCCAGCCAGCACAGCTGGTGGTGAAGGCTTCTGGGAGTTGCAGTCCAAAAACACCTGAGTAACCCAAGGTTAAGAACCACTGACATACAGTAAGTGACATTATAAATTAGCCTGTCCCCAGAGTGCCCTGCCCACACCATTCTGCGTCCCTGACCGGGACATACTTTTAAAAGTGTGGGTGGGATCTCTTTGTTTTAGTTCACATCTAAAACATGAAATCCCTGGGATCAAAGCAAAACAGAGCTTGCTGTTCAAAATTTCCCATCTGGTTTCAGTTTCCCAATATTGTTAAGCTTAGTCACTTAATGATATTGGGAAATTAAAAACTTCATCTGCTTCTCAATGGAGGAGTATGGGGAAGCAGATAAAAGAAAGCAAGTTTTAAAAAAAGACTATTAGGGCAGTGCGGATGCACTGTGTTATTTAGGGGGGAAAGTTAAAGTTTCCTCCAGAAGGAGGAGAAGATAGTTTTTTGGGAGGGGCAAGGAGAGGGGTTTTTTGTTTGTTTCTTTTCTTTTCTTAGAAGAGGCAGGTCAAATAGAGCCTCTTGGGATGCATATGCCATGTGGACTCACAGATCGCACCAAGAGGCATACTAGACCTCTATGCCACCTGAAGTGACCCTATTTAATCTGTTCTAGCCCACTCCAAATCAGCTGTTTAGCCAAGCCCCCAAATTGCCAAAAAATAGGAAACAGCACAGAAAAGCATGCTAGGAGACAGTTCTAAATAACAAAAGTAATGATGCAAACTCCGCAATACATAACTGACCTCTCTCACTAAATACCCATAAAGGTTCTATGTTGCATTCATGCCACTTATTAGATATCGGCCCATTATACAGCTAAAGCATACTGAGTCACATCAGTAAGTGAATACTTTTGTGTATTACACAAAATCAACAGTTCAGTAACAGCAAGAAAACACTTCTAAATGGAAGGTTTCTGTTCACTGAAGAACTGTCACTTCCCCAAACAAATAAAATTAAGAGCAAGGTTTACAGAGCAATGTAACTCCAACAAATATTTTAAAAGCGTCCACATTTCCTTTTTTCGTGGCAGCAACATCATCTACACAGCTAGCAAACTACAATCAAAGAACATGTAATTCGGTTCCCTTCCATAAAAATCCATTCCACTTTTTTCCTTCCACCGATAAATGAGGTTTCAGACCACACACAGGGCTCTGGTTTCTTGCTATACACTTGCCTGTTATACACACACAGGAACTTCATTTGCACCAGTTTCAGCAGGAAAGTTCAGTGATTTATTTTGAATAACAAGCTTGAGTCCTGCAATGTGGAAATAAAACTAATATATCTGAACATGTGCAGAGTTTATTTTCCCTTCAGGCACTAACAATTATCTCTTGTCCATTATCTCTTCCCTCTGTAAATCTGGCTAACAAACTACATTCAGTAAAATCTTGTGAATAGGAAGAGTATTGACAGCATTTGGACAGGCATTCAGGGAGAATGCCTCTTCCAGTTTTTGTACTGTTTGTGTTAATATTGTAAACCACTGTGGGTCCTCTTGAGGAGGAAAGCCAAACATAAATATTTTAAATAAGTAATAAATACTATGAAGCTATACCTGCCACATGCCAAGCTTTTTGCCCTTCTGGAAGGAAACGGAAGGCAGCTCAAGGCCTGCCTATCCACACTTCTGCTTATCAAAGGGGAGGAATCATTTCTGGAGAGAGTAGAGAAGACTCATCAGGAAAAACAAAAGGGGATACTCTAGAGAGGATGAGGAATTCCCAATGCAGGAGGAAATCACTTAGAAAAATGTAACATACAGAGCAGAACTGTCAGGATTAAGCATGCTGTGTCTTTGGTTCTGTGCAATCAATTCCAAGCCTTCCTCATGGACAATGATTCTGAGCTACTGGAACACAAGCAGCAGTTATAGCCTTCAGAGAGCACAGAGGTGCCTAGAGGTTTCCATGGATAGAAAGATTCCTGCCACTCGGGAGGAGGACAAGAGTCGTAACAGTAAGAGACTTCCTGCTGAAAGGGACAGAGACAAACGTGTGTGAATCTGACAATACATCTCAAATGTGCTATCTGCCTTGTGCAAGGATTTAGGATGTGATAGACAACTTGCTAGGAAAGTACACTGATCATCATCTCTTCCATCTTATCAGTGTAAGGACAAATGATATTACCAGACATAGCCTTCAACTTATGGCATGTGACTGGTAGGAAGGTGAAGGACCTTAGAGCACTGGTGGTGATTTCATCACTCCTTCTTGTTGAAGATCATGGCCCAAGAAAAGAGAGAATACAGGAAGTGAAGAACTACATGTGCAGATGGAATCATTAGGAAAGATTTGGCTTCTTGGAATGTAGTCTGTTTACGTGAAGAAGAACTTCTGGCAGGAGACAGGTTGCACCTCACAAGACTGAGAATAATGTGTTTGTTCAGGCATCCCATGAATATGATAGGTTCCTTAAATTTAATTCTACATGGGAAAGAGACAGCATTCCAGATAATGGGTACTGGCATGAACATCAATGGTGCACAGGAGATCTGGAGAGTAGTACACACAGTGGAAACCAGTAGGAGAACAAGAGACAGGGATGACCCATGGTTTCACAGTTCTTTATATTATTTCAGAGAATAATAAAAAAGATTAATTTGAAAACTGGACACAGAAAGAGAAATTTCTCAATAGGCATTACTGAAATCTGGTGGGCTGAGACTTGTAAAAGGATATCTTTCTTTGGTGTCAGTTCTAGAAGGTATTGTAAATCTTCATAAAATTGTTCTGTTTCAGTCTCCTCAGCAATGGTTGTTGGTGCATAAACTTGGATTATTGTGATGTTGAAGGTCTACCTTGGATTCGTATTGACACCATTCTATCATTTTTGAGATTATATC